GTGTGTGTGTGTGTGTGTGTGTGTGTGTGTGTGTGTGTGTGTGTGTGTGTTGTTGTTACCTTCGTTAGGATTTGGAGAATATCTGGATCGGACACTTTGTTTTTTCCAAACTTCTGAATGTTAAAAGATGCCACTTTCATGGTGGCTGTGGAGAGAAAGAAAAAGAAATGTCAGGAATTCAGTGAAAACGCTGTCGCTATCTTAATAAACATTTAATGTGTGTGTGCATGTGTGTGTGAGTTTAATGAGCAGCTGCTCCTCATAAAACCTGACACGTTTTTTATCTCAGTTCTCCTGAGGCCCGGTCAGAGATGACAGAATTCACACTGTGATGTAAAACCTCTTGTTGTGAGTAAACCGCAGTGTAAAGATGAACCAGTGTTGGCACCAAGCTTCATTGAGCCTGCTCTTATTCTGCAGGGGGGGGGGGTGTCTCATGATGACGGTGCTTGTCAGAGCAAATGAAAACATAATGAACGGTGAAGTGATTTGATTAATAGATTAATTTCTCTTCCTGGAGTCACTCTGACATTGAGTCAGCTCTGGTTTGTACACATGCAAGAGATTTGACTTATGTCTTTAAATATTAGTTTGTTCTGACAGAAGATGTTTCGAATTAATCCTCGTAAACAGGATTTAATTTGTTCCGTGTGTGACGACTTCCTCTTTTATGAAATGATGGAGCTGTTTTCTTTCTTTTTTTCCCAAATCAAATCTTGGTGAGCTCAGTTCTTCAGCCGAGGAAAACACGTCAGACTTGTTCTAACAGGTTCAGTTTCTAAACGACGACCACTCCCAAACCCCCCATTATCCTATCTCCACTGAGTCCTGCTTTACATCCACACAGTACTTAACACTGCTGTAACGCTGCGGCCAGCTCTACTGTGAATTCCTCCTGTCAACCCAGTAGATTTCCCACTCTGTCGTCTGTCTTTCATTTCTGAACCACACGTCTCTGCTGAAACAGATCAAATGAACAACACGTCTGTGTTTCAGGGGCTGGAGGGAAAAGAAAACGCAGCTCACACATTGGGAATTTCGTCACTGTGGTTGTGTGTTTGTGTGTGTCTGGTGGAAGTTGTCCAGCTCGTTTGAATTTGTGTTGTTGCTGAGTGATTATCAGTTTCTGATCGGTGAAATTCTGTGTGTTGTGCAAACGTTCATGCTCCCCACAGGCTGAACGCTTTTAGTTGAGAGATCTCCGGACTTTTTTTTCTCGATCCAAAAACTTCTGTAACTTAAACACAAGCGGACACTCAGACGTCAGGATGATTCTAAAAGTGCAGAAGTTGTTTTTCATCACTCACATCGACATATTCATTCTCTATTATCCAATAAACAGTTCAGTTCATGATGGGACACTGAACTCATTCCCATCAGCGTCAGTGGATAATCATGTTGATAAATAAGATTTGATTCCAATTTCTGAACTAGCAATGGTGTCACTCATACCGATGAGTCCTCATCGAGTTCCTGTTCGGTCTTTAACTTTAGTTTTGTTTCATTCTCATAGCAACGTGCTCAAAAAACGAAAACAGCAAAACTCACTCATCATTCGTTCTGTTTACAACCGTCCAAATATTCAATATTTCCACAAAACGATGAATTAGAAGTTAACAAAAATTAAGTAGATCTTAACAAACACCAGTGATATCTCACACCTTTATACTCAGAATGAAGTTAATTGGCTCCAAAGTCTCAGGTTAGTCAGTGAAGACACAAACTAAAACAAAGCAATAAACATGTTTTGTTCAATAATAATTAAAATCATTACACTTTAGTTTTACATTTGTTCTTCACCTTAATTCTGAATTGATGGTTTGAGGAATAAGGATTCACGCTCTTCACTACCTGCTCAGCTCAAACATGCACGGTGAGGGACAGGCTGGTGAACACAATGGGACATTAGGCCTGAGACTGACATTTCCTGAAACACGATAAACCTTTAGATTTAGGTAACAACATGACAAGGCCTTTTTTTTCTGGCACCTTCCTCAGAACAAACATTTCAGTGCAGAACGGTGAATTTGATCCTATGCTCACACACTGGTGAAAGAACAAATATTAGACTACAGGCTGCAAACATCCAGCTGCCTTCTCCCACTGTTTAAATACGTTTAAATTCAAGTTAGGAGCATCTCCTGCTGAAAAACACAACGACAAAATACCTGGAGCTCTCAGTAACACCTCTGATCTGTACTTCTCAGATTTCTCCTGTTGATTTAAGCGTTCAGATGGAGGCAGGAGTGTTCATCGTCTGCAGACGTGTTAAACCTCTCAGATATTCGGCTCAACGTCAGGAAACATTTTCTCACCTGCAGATGAAGGAGAAACCTGTAGGTCAGATGTGTCTGAGGATTAAATGGTTCAAAGGAAGAGAAGGAAAACTGTGTGTCTGTAGTAGGGGACCACGGGCAACATGATTGGTCGACAGCCAACAAATAGCAGGGGCTGGACAGACAGAGAGAGAGAGAGAG